TGAAGTCCTTGTAATTAGATCAGGTCCTAAACCTTTTTGTGAGCTCCATAAGGCAGCAGCTGTTTGATTTCTGTCTTTGTACACCTCCTGCAAGCATACCACAGTATCTTGCACATAGTAGGGGCTTAATAAATGCTTGTTGGTAAGATCGATTACGCCCTTTTTTTTCTATCTACATATGATTTACTGATTCTCGAGGCTGTCTTGTGTGACCAGAACCACGAGTTTGCAAACCTTCAGCTCTTTTTAGCCACTAGAGGTCAGTATTAGGCCAAGAGAAAGGCCCTGAGAGCCCTTAGGCATTAAATTTCATGTTTTTAACCTGGCATATGGTACCTGGTATCTTTAAGGCTTGTAGGTGTTTTCACAAGATCACTTTCTTTTGGCATTCCAAGGATCCCAAGGTAAATCTTCTCTGCTGGTTTCCATGTATCCTTAGCCAGGTGATTGGGGGCAACATGGAATAGTTGATAGCCAGCCTTGGCACCTACTAACTCGGAGGGACCCTGGGCGAAGCACCTTCTGTGTCTCAGGAAACTCCCTGAAGATCAGAAGTTCTGGACCTGAACTCAGTGTCTCTCCCTCTTCAGCCCATTTTAGGGCATCCAGTGCCACAGTCTGGCTCTAGCCTGTTGTTCCAAGCTGAGTATCCTAATGCTGTTGATGAGGCAAATCCTCTTCCTTGATGTTCCCCTATTCCCATTTCTTCTCCCATCCTGGGCCTTTACACAGGTAATGGCCCCATTCCTGGAGTGCTCTCTTTGTTCACTTCAGCCTCTTGGGACCTCCAGCTCTTTTAAAGATCCAGCTGAAGTTCTTTTTCCTTCAAGAGACTTTTCCTAATTTCCTTTCTTGCTGGTCCTCTCACCTGTGGTGATCACGTTGTGCTTTATGTGGTGTGTGTGTGTGTGTGTGTGTGTGTGTGTGTGTGTGTGTGTGTGTAGAATGCCAGCTCCTTGAGGTCAGGGGCTGTGTATCTTTTGTATTTGATTTCCTAGGACTTAGCACATTACTTGGCACAAGGTTCTTAATAAAGTCTGATTGGTTCATTGAATAGTCCAAGTGTCTTCAAGGGTGTTTCCTCCCTGGGAGAGCCCTCTATTGATGAAATCAAAGGCCTGAAGAAAAGCAAATGAATATATGATGTCCTCTCATCAATTCTCCGTTGGTCCATAGGGGAGAATTTGATTACCATCATTAACAGATAGAACCCAGCCCTGGAAAGGTTGCCTTATAGTATGTGTCATTTCTTTCAGTAAGTATTTAAGTTCCTTTGGAGGATTCCAGTTGTGTAATACATAGTCCTTCCCTCAAGTTGGGTAGACAAGACACATGCACATGAAAAGATAACTAATAATACAAAACAGTATGCATAATTGTCAAAAATTGTGCTATACCGTTCCACAGGAAAAGGAAGATGTGCTGTAGGTGGTCAGAGGAGGGAGGGACCGCTGTTGGGGTGTGCTCGACAAGGGCGAGGAAGATCATAGGATCATGGATCTAGGATCCCTGGAGGAGCACTCTATTCCAAATCTCTTCTTTTACAATGAAGAAACTGAGGCCTAGAGAGAGCTTCACTAGCTTACCTAGAGTCACATGTGTGAAGTAAGTGGCAGAGACAAGATTTGAACTCAGGTTCAGTGATTCCAAGTTCAGTTCTCAATCTGAGGGATATAGTTTGGAAGACTAAAAAGGTAGGGCATTCCTGGGAGGAGTGGGGTTAGGAGGTTTGAACCAAGATATGGTGATGGAAATGGACTTTATGCTCGTGGGACAGTGAAGAGATCGGTCTGCCTGGAGTGGATAATTCGAGTTGGGTTCTGGTTCTGCTTGGACACCAGCAATAAGATTGGGGCAGATTTTGGAGGGTCTTGAATACCAGGCTCCAGTGTGGACTTTACAATGATTGATAAAGCCATCAGTGAACCACTGCTGTCCAGATAATAATGGACATGCTGAAAAAGATGTGTTAGAAATATCTGATGGATGAAGTAGAGCACTGAAGGGATTGAGTCTGAGATAGGATAGGATAGCCAAGTGGAGTTAAAAATGTCTGCAGGGAAGCCAGGAGCCGAGATTTGGATTGGGGAGTTACTCATTTACAGATGATGGTTGAAGCTCTGAGAACAGGGGCAGAACGTAAGAGAGAGTACAGGAACTGAAACTTCTGAGGACCTAGGAGTGCTAACAGCTACCTCCACGAGAAGAGAAGGAGCCAGAGAAGGAGCCGGGAGCCCTGGGAGTGGAGGCATTAATGATCAAAGAGCCAGGCTGTGAGGATAGGATGGGGTCATTGAGGGCTACGAAGGAGAATATTCCGAGAGAGAGAAATATTCACGAAACTATTTCAGTGTTTGGTCACCAGTACCAACTGTGCTGCATAAAAAGAGTAAGAAAGCAGAAAAGCTCTCCTCCCTCCTTTGGGGCTTTGCCCTCTCCCACCCTCTAGCCATCTTCTTTTGGTGAGCCCTGTCTCTGGAGGTGCTCTGTGGTGGAGCTGGATTTTTGTGGGTTCTTATTTAAAGTGGCATTGTTTGGGGCTCCACTTATTCTCTTGTGTTGATTGCTTTTTAATTTTCTGTTTTTTCCATCCGCCCCCTGGAAGCGTTTTGGTTGCTATTAGGCAGTAATTTGCATTCGTATCCACAACAGTGACAATGGGGCCAATTCATCATTCTGTGCTTTCGCTGTGGTGCTCACTCATCCAGTGGCCTGTCTGCTTGCCAGACCAGCATTGACTGCTCCCTTTCATAGCATGAAACAGGCTCCATGGTGCTTTAAGGCAAAATGACTTGCCCATTGACCCTGACAGAGCCAGGATAGAACTTCTGGCACTTTTATTTTTATTTGGGGGGCCCAGTTCTTTGACCCATAGTACCTTACCTGACTATCTACTATCCAGCTTTCTGGCTTGGCCCAATTTACAGAATCACAGGAGAAGGTAGATGCCTTTTCTTTGGAGAGAAAGAATTGACATTCTGTTACCCTAGGGGTTTAAGTGAGCTTGAGAATGCCTGTGAGTGTGGGCTTAATTGCAAGGCCAATTTAAAGGTTTCCAGTCTCCTTCTGTACCTTTGTTTAAGTAACAGAGGCCATTGTGTCCTTGAGGTAAGTTGAACCATGATGCCAATGGATCATGGACAATCAAAAAAGTTTCTTTTTTCATGCAAGCCTCTGGAATGCTTGGTGTTTCTTTTTCATGTTCCTGGCAGAAATTAGCTCTCATAGTTCATGTTTTTTTTTTTTCTTTCTTTTTTTACTTTTCTTGCTCACCCAGTACGTTATTGGGCTAACACCCGTTGGCATACACTGCTTTATTCTTACCATTGATGTTGAACTCATTCAGAAGGTTTGAAGGCCTCCTGCCATCAGCCACAGGAACCATTCTGCTGAGCTGGTTTCCCCTCTCCCTGTCTCCAGTGGAGAAGTGTCATACATAGAGTAGGAATTTACAACCTTATTGTTGATTCTCTGCAATCTTTTATTTCGACTTTTTTGTGCCTGCCTGAATCCCAGTCCATTTTCTGTTAGTAGTGTTGAGCTAAGCTCTAACGCTTCCTTCCCCTTTACAAGTGCACAAGGGGAAACCTATTCTTTCCTGCTTCCCAGAGATGAAGGTCATAGAAACTCCAGTGGGGTCAGCTAGTTCATTCCTCAGTATCAGGCTCCTTCATCTCCTCAGTGGAATTTCATTGGAATATTTTAAGGGAAATGGATGAACTATCATAGAATTGAAGGAAAGCAAATCTCAGTAAAACTCTGAAAAAAACTCTGAGTCTAGATGGGGCATTTATCATCCTGACGAAAGTTGTCAGAACTCACTCCTTTACCCCAAGGCGTGGGCTGCTGTGATGAGAGATCACTTTAACCTCACAAAGAGGGTAGCGTGGTTTCGTGTGAAGTCATGAGCTCTGGAGCCAGAGGGTATCTATGCAGATCAGGGGATTGGACTAAGTGGCTTTGGAGGCCTTGTCATGTTTGGAAGGATTAGGTTGAGATGTGTGAGGAGTGCCACGTCACACACTGAGTGGTTGTGCGATCCTTGGCAAGTTAGTTACCCCCTCTGTGCCTTGGTTTTCTTCTCTGTAAAATGGGGACAATAATAATAGCTGCCTCCCAGAGTTGTTTTGAGAATCAAATGAGTGAACATGTGTAGAATGCTTTGCGAACCTTACAGCACTCAAACTGTTTAGCATTTATTTAAAGTTGGAAGTGATCCTAGAGAACACTTAGCCCAGCCTCTTGAATTTTTAAAGATAAATTGTTAGGGATATCTTTTTGTATTGCCTATACTTCTCCCTGTATCCATGCTGTCCTCCTTCCAGAGAGCCGTCTTTCATAGCAGGAAGACTTTTTAGAGAAAAGGAAGAAGAGAAGGAAATCAGCAGAACTGGCCAATATATAAAGATATAAAGTGTGTGGACAGCATTACCCACACTTCTACAGAGGAGCTGGGAGGTGTCTTCTCATCTCTCTTTCCTGGGGCCAGGCTTGTTCTTTGTAATTTTGTAATATTTTCATTTGTTTTGGGGTGGTTTTTTTCCGTTTACAGTGTTGACATCATTGTGTGAATTGTTTTTGGCTCTGCTTATTAATGGAATTTCTCAATGTTATAAGAATCGATGAAAATGAGGAATACAGAGAAGCACAGAAAACTTGGCTGAACTGATGCACAGTAAAATCAGCCCACCTCTATTATTTTTATAGATGATGAAGCTGGCCTTGAGTGGCAAAGGAACCTGCCTGAGGTCTCCCAAGTGAGTGAGTTGGGATCTGACAGGATCTAACAGGAAGCTCTCTGGTTACCTTCTCATTAAGGAAATTTCAACAGTGGATTTGCCAGGTCACATTAAGATATTAAAAGTATATGCACTGTCCCGATGGATTCTTGAGGACTTAATGTGTTCACATATTTCTTTGATGTATTTTCTAGAAAGTTCTCGTTTGTTTAAAAAAATTGTGAACGTTCCCTTCTTATATGTTTTCTGCTTCTGTCCTAGGCTCAGCAGCAAAGGAACCTGGATAACATCATTTCACAGCAGCCTAGAATAGGCAGCAGGAAAAAATCCAAGAAAGATGCATTTACCAGCTTGGACACAGAGATAGAAAGCACTAGCCCCAAGTCTGAGCAAGATTCTGGGATTCTGGATGTTGAAGATGAAGAAGAGAATGAAGAGGTAATCAGGGTTGGATCTGGGGGATGTGAGATGCCCACTGCGGGGTCAGATAAGGACAGCAGTGTCTGGCTGGCTGGTAGACAGTCCATCCCTGGGTTGAGTGCCAGTGTGGCATCTAGGAGTTCAGAGCGCAAACATTTGTTGACTGGATTCGTGAAGCAGGTGAGTCCTGGAGGAATCCTTCAGCTCACTGGTGGATTCTTCCTTTTTGTAAAGGAACCATTTTCTTGAATCTGCCTAGGCGAGGTTGGTGACACAGAGATGAGAGCGTTGTTCGGGGTCTCACGGATGATTGGTTGGCCTCGTTTCAGAACCGGAAGTAAACATTTTAGGACTCGTTAGAGGAGCGCCTCTCCATGGTGGCTTGAGAGAAGTGGTATAGACAAAGAGATTCCGGAAGAGTTCAGGTGTATTTGTGGGGGTCACTCAATCCATCGTGGATTATTAAGGAGAGTTCTGGTAATCAGTATGACAATAGCTCTCATTTATGGAATGCTTTAAGATTCTCCAAACACTCTACATGTTATCTCATTTGATCCTCACGACAGTGAGGCGGGAGCTATTATCATCATCTCCATTTTACAGATGAGGAAACTGAGACTAAGAACCAGTTAAGTGACTTGGCTGGCATTTCCACACTGTTAACTGAGTCAGGATTTGAACTCTAGTCTTAGGATTCAGAGCCCAACGTCACACCCACTATGCCACCTAGTTGCCCGTTGAGGTGAATCCCTAATTATTGGAATCAGCTTCCCTACCCTCCCTCAACCTGTCACTGTCTGCCACTGTCACATCTGATGAGTGTGTGTGTATCATGTTCTTGTTGCCAGATGAGAGAGGAGTCTCCAAGGGGCTCCCTTAGTCTTGGTGTCCTGGAGACTGGTGAACATTTCCACCTTCCTTCTGACCATCCCTGTCCAGATTGTTCCTTGTCTTATGTTCCAGACTCTGCTTTTAACTGTGTGCTTCACAGATGTTCATCGTGTCTCAGGACCAGATGCTTTTCTGGGAGATTTTAATGCGTTTGGTTCTTTTTGGAAAAGCTCGTTTACAAGTCACCTTTTGAGAGTGATTGCATTTTTGTGCACCAGTGAGAGAGAATCGTGCCTCTGTCCATGGTTAGGAATCTACCTGAACCTTGTACAGTGGAGAGATACAAGCTTCATTACTGGTGCTGCCACAGAATCCAACTTGTCTGGAAAATTGCTTCATAGGAGCCCATTCTGAAGGAAACTGGGCATTTTCCTGAAGACTGGGGGATGGCTGGGATTTTCTGCACTTGTCAGAGAGGGTGGGAGAAGTGGCCGAGAGACATAGATCAGTCCTATAGATGGTGATGTCCCCTTAGCCATTTGCCTGGTGTGCTTTAGAAATCTTTTCCAGCCTACCCGGAGGGTACCTTTGTGAGACCCATTAATTGTGACAAACCGCAGCATTTCCTGATAACATTTCCCTTTTCCAAGAGAACAGACCAACTCCTTTATTTTGGGGTACTCAACTAAGTGCCTGGTATCGTGCTGTTGGAATGGAGCCCCTAAGCCCTCCAGAGAAGCCGGAATTCCTATCTTCTGTGATAACAGACCATCAGTGGAAGATAGTTAAGTGAGGAGATGAAGTTATGATATCCACATAGAGGCTTCGTCTGCCAGTGACCACTTAGCAAGTAGGAACTAGTCTCCCCATGGACTCACTCTGGGCTCTCAGGGCAAGTTCCTGTCTTTCTTCCCTAGTGTCCTTGTTGTTTCCTTCCCCTCTTGGGTCCAAAGAGGCTGAAGGCAGTAAAGGGAATGAAGTATTTCAGACTTTCTGGAAGTGAGGTACTGGCTGAATGGGATAGGGAGTGAGTATTCCACAAATTGCCTTTACCCCCAAGTCACATTGTCTTGGATTTAAGGCTCAGTTGATTTTCCTGCTTTCATCTTTTATGGCAGAGTTCAGCATTTCATTTGTCATATAAGTTCCCACTGACTCATTTTGTTTTTTTGGAATCCCTACCATATATTTATTTACTTCTCAGCTGGGATCTCTTTCTAGCAGGCATTCTTGAGCTCAAACCTCATGCAGTGAATTGTTTATTTAGATGTCTCCAAACTGGTTTCTTGGCATATTCCTTACATGGCATGAAGAAATCCTTTAGATAAGGTCTTCTGCGGCCTACTGTGTCATGCTGACCTTCATTCCTCACATTTTTCAGCAGGTCTCATCAAGAGCAGCACGAATGGATTCTGGGGAGATCGAATCTTTTTAGCTGTTATGGTCCCCCAAGGGACTTAGTCAGGGGACAACTTCTATGCAAGGCACATTACACAAAAATCTTGGGGCCCCAAATGAAAAAGGCAGCCCTGGGGAGTGAGACTCAGGGAGACAGTAAGGAGAAGGCTGCATTTGGAGTTACAGGGCCTAGTCGCTCGTCCTGATGCTGCTACCTGGGTGGCTTCAGGCAATGATAAGAAGAGCTCACTTAAAGGTTTTTTTTTTGTTTTGTTTTTTTTTTACTGCTTTTTGCTTTATGAGGCATCCTCCTAACAACTCTCTTGAGGCAGAATGCTGTTATCATCCCTAATTTCACAGATGAGGAAACTGAGGCCCAGTGGAAGTTAGATAACTGGTAAATGTTACTGGTGGTTCTTCTATGAGCCTCTGTTTTCTCATCTGTAAAATGAGTGTAAAATGACTAGATCTCCTTCACAGCTCTAACCCTATGAGCTTGTGAATGAAGAAAGTCTTTATAAAGTACTTAGTGCTAGGAATACAAATAAAAAGGAGAGTCCCTGCTCTCCCCTGTTCAGGGAGATGCACCCCTCTAAGTCAGAGGGAAGGTCAGAAATCACTTGTGTTAGTTAAGCTGTATCTGTTTCTGATATTGAACTGTTTGATAGAGCCAAGGTCTTTGGTGGCAGGAACCTTATTTTTTAGGTAAAAGGAGCTGTGGCTGCTGAGGAGACAGGGACTACCCCCCCCACACACACACACTCCCCTCCCCCCAGAAGCAGGACCAGTGATCTGGAGAGTGGAGCCCTCCTCGGGCTCTCAGGCGTTGCTGCCTGGGAGGAGCAGCTAAGCAGTTGGTGCTGATGTAGCTGGGAGAGCTGGTCCTTTCTCCACAGGGATTCCCTCAAGAACGACTTGGGGGCCTGGGCTGGAGTTCACGCTGGTGGCCGTGGGGACACTGCCATTCCCAATGCTCTTGGATTCAGGGTCCCCAGCTATGTCCCAGGGACCCTGAGGGGAGGTGGCGATGTAGATGATCACAGTTCTTTGACTTGCCTGGCACATACTGACTCCTGTCTTTCCTTTAGGGCATGTGTGTGACTCAGTGGGCTTCCTGTAATGGGAAACTTTGGGTCATCAACCAGGATGATTTATTTAACCATTATCATTTATCCCTGCCCCTTCTAGTAATAATAATGACAGCTCGCATTTATATACAGCATGTGAAGATTTGCCACGCTCTACAAATATCTCATTTTATCTTCGTAATCCTGGAAGGGAGGTGTAATCATTGTCACCCCCACTGAGGCAGACCAGGTTAATTGATTTGCCTCGGGTCATACAGCTAGTAAGTGTCTGAGGTGGGATTTGAACTCCAGTCTTCTTGACTAGTGGTGTCACCTAGCTGCCTAAGTGAACAAAGGCAGAACATAAATGTTGTCTCCCGATACATTGAAAAGGCTGTTTCATTAATTGTGATTGGAACTCTGGCCTTCCTTTTTCTGGAAGTGTACGGTCATAGTTAGTGCCCTTCTTCTAATGGCCGCTTATTTTCCAAGCCTTACTTTTTCTTCTCTTAGTAGAACCTTACTTGCAATCCTTTACCAGGTTGTAGATTCATGAATTTAAAGCCCAAAGGGGGATTTAGAGGTTCTCTAATTCAGTCTCCTTATTTTACTGATCAAATTGAGGGTGAATAAATGATTTGTTCAGCGTCCCATAGGTACAAAGTACTAGAGCAGGGATTCAGACTTTTGGTGCTTTTTTAAATTCCTGAGACAAAGCACCAAACTTGAAGGGCGGAAATAAAGTGCTGATGATAGGAAATACTTTTTGGTATGTGGGCATGGACTATAGACTGGTTGTGGGCATGACTGTAGAATGTCAGAGGGGAGCCACTTTCACTGTGATCTAAGTGGTAAAACAGTGATGAGGCATGAGGCCAGGGGACAACATCTGTCATGTGATAGATATTGAAAGGAGAGAAAAAGTTGCATTTATACATGAGCACCTGGGAGAGCCCCCCCCCCCAAGCAGTTGGGCTTCTCAGATTACTGACACCCTTAGCAGTTGGAGGGGTACAACCCATGAGCAGCAAATATGGCAGACAAGGATGGTGACCCAAGGGAAGCGCAGAGATTGTTGCGTCCTTATGATTGACACAAAATGAAATTTGGTTGGTCTTCTCCTAAAAGGAAGAATGCAATTTCTCTACTCTCAGCAAAATAGTCTGTCTTTAAACAGTGAAAGGAACGCAAGAACAGAACGAAGAAAGTCAGGGGTACTGCAAAATCAAATGTCGGTGCTGGCAAAAAGAAGGATTAAAGGCACTATGGAAGATGTTTATCTGGGAAGATAAGTTTTCATCAGAGAACAAATAAACTACGTAAAAACTTAAAAAATAGTCTGTCTTGGGGAAAAATAGTATTTCTTGAAGGGATGGAGTACATGCTTCAAGGGGACAAAAAAGTGAAAGGTGACAAAGAGGAACTCCAAAGCCATATGGAGCTGTTAGACAGCGGACCAGCATGACCCAAAGGAGTATGGTGGCGCCTTGGAGCAGTGGGACGCTAGAGGCGCTTTCCTCTCTGATGAGGACGCGCTAGTCTGCTGTGTGAGAGGAGCCATAGAAGAGCCCATGGAGATTCCCTTCCCAAAAGCAATGGTAATACTGGTGTGATTGCTGTTCCTGAAGCCAGAGGTGAAAAGTGGGATGGCAGAGTTTGGGGGCCTGTTTACATAGCAGAGGATGACTTAGGTAGACCGCTGGTCTGATTGTGGAACAGGAG